GGACAGAAGGACGGGAGGAGGACAAAGGACGGGAGGAGGACAGAAGGACGGGAGGAGGACAGAAGGACGGGAGGAGGACAGAAGGACGGGAGGAGGACAGAAGGACGGGAGGAGGACAGACGGACGGAGGAGACAGAAGGACGTGAGGAGGACAGAAGGACGGGAGGAGGACAGAAGTGACGGGAGGAGGGACAGAAGGACGGGAGGAGGACAGAAGGACGGGGGGATGTACAGGACCGGAGGACAAGTGAGATGGATCAACACATTCATTTTACTTTTACTTTCTCATCTGCACAGAGAACAGGGAAACAGGAGAATGGGAAAATCAGAGAACTTTATGAGGGGAACATAATTTTGCTACAAAGTGCTTTGTAGCACTGTAGCGCAGTATCTCCTGCTGAGAACAGGAGGGTTCGATATATCTGAATGTAACATATCATGCTCAACTTGATGAATACCATATAGTTTATTTCAAGACCTAAATAATTATTAAATACCCAAAGTAGGATGAAGCCGAAGGCCAGGAAGCCAACAAAGAGCGCGAAGCGCTCTTTTTGCTTCCTGTGCCGAAGGCACAACGGGTGTGTGCTAGTATATTCATGATAATGTGACAGGCAAATGCTAGATCTCATTTTTGGATATATTGAAATGGATGCACGTGTTTTTGCATGAATCAATACCCGTGTACCGATTGTCTTCTCATGGGTCCCGACAGCGCCGTGCTGCAGTGTTATTCCCACCTTCGAGCTACTGCGTATAAAATACATGAGATGGTGTCATGCTAATAAAAATTGACACCCTTCATCATTCTTCAACAAGATGTATCTCATGAATGCCTTACTTGGTTATGTGATGCCATATCTAGCGGTAATATTCAATCTAGTCTCGTCACCTACGATGAACAAGTGGGGTGATGTTGCTTATTACAACCCGACTGACGCAGGGGGTTCAATGCTCATCAATGCTGGCGATGGATACGGTGAACCTATGAATGTACTTTTCTTTCATCACTGTCACGCCCTAGTCTACTAATGTATAACCTGGCTGACCCCGACAATTTAGGTCATCATCTCTGGTCTTAGCTCCCCCGCTGTCCTCACACTTGACGGAGCTATCAATTTTGCCCGTGCTATTGGGTTGTAAGCATGGAAATAATTGCGAACTGCGTCTTACTTATTTGCTCATGATAGTTCTGAAGAATGTTTCGGCCTTCACTTAGGCGGTTATATGCCCGCCGACTTGGGAGATGGAAATGGGTGGGTCAATCAAACGATTGAGCTTCGCCAGGACTATGGAAGCGCAGGAGGCGGAACGTGTCTTGAGAGCCTCGTCGGAGGAAATCATTTTCGGTAAATTTATTGACTGGTGACCTAGGACGGTGATAATATTTGTTCAGCATTTTTGTACAGAACGGCACTGCGGCGGACAGCGGCGCTTTCTTCCTAGCGTAAGTACCCTTAAATTGTCTTAAGTATTAGTAGCTTACTTGATGTGCCAGCGTGTCTCGAGAGGAGGTGCGTGATTCGCCAGGGTTTTGTTACACATCTGAACGCCACCCTTAGCCCGCATCAAAGCATCATGATATCATCCCAAATGGGTACAACATTGGCCGGTAAATATCTCTGCTTGTGACGCACGAGTCATTAATCCAGTTTTAGCAACCAGCTGGTGTCAGCAGCAGTTGGTGAAACAAGATATCATGGGATCAAATACTATACTACCGCCCAAAACATTACTGGTCTCCTCAAACCTGGCGCTGATGGTATTAATCATGGTGAGCTTGATCGGCTCAATAGTTGCTCGTCTGACATCAGGGCCTCTATCAGGCATTGCTCAAGATGGTATTGTCGCGTTGTTGACCATCACGATCTATTGAGAACCCCATGATATTTTTTCGTTCCTCCGGGACTTCTCGATACTTTGCTCGTCTCGTTGTCGAGTATTGACAAGTGAAGATGCTAGAGTAATGCTACAAATGCTGTGTATGATGTGACACAAATCAATGAAGTAAAGCCAAATGCAAAGAATTCGAAAATATCTTGGACAGGACCAAAAACTATCAATCCATACCACTTACAAATCAAGATCCACTTCTCCCTCAGCATCTTTCTCGTCCCACATAGACTCGTCTTGATCTGGCTGTGACGACCCTATCGTCTCAGGTACCTCGGAACTTCGCGGAACGCTGTCATAACCACATTCGGACCACATGAGTTCTTCTTCCTCGGCTTCTTGGCGGGTCCGGCGTCGAACGCGATTAAGAACCGAATCAAGCTGGAAGTAGTTTGCATCGTCCATGGCAAACTTGCGATGCCTCCGGTCCTGTGTGTGCTAAAGGACTGAGGGTTAGGATACTCGTGTACAGGATTAAACGCGATCCTACCGTGTCGAAATCATCGAACTTTACGCGACAACTCTCACAGTAACCAGGTTTGCTCCCTTCATCGCGCTTTGGCAATCGAAGGGTGTTTGTACTCCTGCTTTTCCTGAGCAGTGGGCGATCTGGAATTGTAAGGGGTGGGCCCATGCCTCCCGCTTTTCGGCTGAGAGTGTGGGTTGCATTCGGGGCTTTTCGAGACGTCACGACTTGTTGTTGAATCCTGGACCGAAGAGAAGCAGGTAGTTCCAGCGTCCTAGAAGCACCCCCTGCGGTGGATGTTGTGCCTCTTGTGGATGTAATACAAACGCTATTGCCAGATGCTGCAACGTATGAACCAACACCCGTAGAAGCAAGGTAGCCCGAGGCGGTCGCTGACTCTCTTGTATCACCATCTCCGTAGTCAGCATCCAGGTCAACGTAATCTTCAATAGTTGCCTGGCGATGTAAATTATTCATCGACACTGAGCGGCGGAGGTCGCCAGCTTTGCCCGAGAGCATCTGCACCTCCGCCTGCCTTTTGCGCTTCAGAGCCTTAGCCACCTTCTCCGCGCGTTCGTTCTCGTTCTCCCTCTCCGCCTTTTGTGCCCGGTCCCAACGCCTCCGCTCCCTTTCATCAAATTTTATAAAAGGCCCCCGAGACCTTGGGTCACAGTACAGGACCGGATACGAGGGTTGCTCTTTCCCGTCGTGCCCCCGTTGTATGGGATATTCTAGAGCATGGATCGTCGCTAACTCCTGTCGCACGTCTTCTATAAGCACAAAATAACTGTGTTTTGAGAAATATCGATAATCATGTCGCTTTTGAGTGGGGTCACGTTCTGTGGTGGTACCATGAAGACGTTCGGTTTGAAGTAAGCTAGATAGTGATCGTTTGTTGGAAGCAGGGGCAAGAGAAGTGGCTTGTGCAATAGGTTTCGAAGGGGAGAATGCAAAGGCTGGAACATCACATCGTTCCAGAATGTTGTCAAGTTTTGCCGGACTCCAAATCTTCATGTTGAAGGCCTTTGCCTTCTCCACAAGGTTGAAGCTCTGCGAGGTGGCATCCTCGGTGGTACTGTAAATTGAGGATGTCAGCATGGTCTATAATAATGGAATAACTCGGTGCACCGTCCACGGAGCTTGATTGGGCTTTTCAGTGAGCTCGCTCGTGCGGAAAAGCCTTGTAATCGATTCTCCTTGTTTGCAGTAGGGTCGATCGGAGTGATAGGTTGATTAGTGATAAGATGTGTGATCTCGTTTGAGAAAAAGTCATCTACTTGCTAGAAGCAGGTTGACGGAGTGTCAGACGTTTGCGCAATGATCACGGAGAATTGGCCATACTGATTTGAGGTGCACCACCCGGGCTACTAATGAATCTCGCAAGGCAGCACTCTCAGGATCCGACAAATCTAAGTCGAAATAGAAGACCCATGCAGGAAATGCACGAGTGTACTTGATACGAAACTCGGCCTTCTGAGCCTCCCTTTCTACGCGCCTTCGTTCCTTATCCTTGCGGTCCTCGCCGTGGATGACTTCTGTTGGAGCATGTCTCACCCGCTTGACGGATTCATCTGCTGTAGGGTCCGGTGATCGAGGACGTTTGAGCAAGAGGGAGGCTGAACGGATTCCTTGTTTGAAGGGAGACATGGTAGGAGGAACTTGAAGTGGCAGAGTTCGTGTACTTAGTGGACGGCGGTTGGTTGTAGGCATGACTGGGAGCCAGTTAAGGCTGAGACAAATAGGACCACGTCACGCAGGTGATATGATGAACAAGAGGCAGGATGAGGATACGGTGGGAAAAGATAATATAACAATGTCCAACTCGATGGTAAGACGCGACTCAGCAATTACTTCCGGTGTGACCACAAATAAACAACGCGTGCGTGCGATGATACATCGATTCATCGTCTTATTACCCAATGATTCAACATCTGATTTTTACTTCAGTCCCTTCAATTAACGTTGCAAACTCCCGAAATGACTAGTATAGGGAAACACCCGGTGTGGTTCTGCCAATCCAAACACTTGGAGAAAGGCCAGACACCAGACGAGCCACCAACGACAATACATACTTTGTTGGACAGTACATTGAATGATTAAATTTGAAGGCATAATTGGGTGGCACGTGACAATCACATGACCGCGTACGATTTTACTTCCTACCAAAAGACAATGTCGCGTAGGTATCATCCTGCGTGGGAGACTCGAATGAGCATCGTGAAGGCCATGACACGACGCAATGAAAATCAGGAGTACACACAGGTAAATGCATCTGTCACTTCAGCCAACGGGCTTTCCGTCAATTCCTTGGCGCGCCTATCAGCGCTTTGTGAGAATAGAGAATCATCCAATGCCACGAAGATGTCCAGGCTACCCAGAGAATCTTGATCACAAACAGTATGTTGAGGACTAATCCGCAGAGTACATGTACACTGGCTCTCCTTCACTTTTGCGGATAGGGGCATCACCACGAACGGGAGTGCCTTCTTGTAGGACCGCTTTTCTTGACATCCTGTTGGGTTAATGTTCTCCTTGTTCGAGACGGATTCAAGACGAGTGGAAGGCATGACTGGTTTCAGTGGCGTATGTAGAGAGTTATGTATCACGGACGAAATCGACGGGTGGTTACTTGCAGCATCAAGATTTCAAGACTTTATAAACCGGGGACCTCGATGCATTGCTTGTCATGGAAACGGTGGACTGTTCCTCAGGTGGTGCAAGCATGAACAATGGTTCATTAACCAAACAAACCAGGCATCCAAGGAGCTACATCCCGTTTTGAATATTATTGAATCATGTCTCACCGGTCTGTGGAATTTGTGGACGCGACGATGCATCTACTTAGTACAAAAGTCCATGTTCATGTTTGGTTGTGTTAGGAAGCGAAGGATTTTGCCAATTAACACCAAACAACAGTCGGTGAAGTAGTACTAACTATCATCTGACAACCGATAGTCTTCGCGTATTTTGGAATGTCACTGTTTAGTGATGCCTGGAATCAGCACGAACGTGACATGGATTTGGCACTGGGCATCCTACCACACATAACATCTCAGTTCTTCGTCCCTCGAATGGTCGACAAACCTCAAGACCCCATTGTGCATGCAATTGATAGGGAGAATGCTACAACTCTAGAAAAATGCCATACGCGTGATTTTGACTCAAGAGATATTGCTCGCGCTCGAGATATTCCTGCACTTCCCTCGTTGTCACCAGAGGTGCTATGGGCAAATTCAGTCACCAGTGGTGATCATCGTTCAGTGAGAACCTCCTGTGTCGTGGTATGAAAGATTCAATAATAAAATTTAGGATCAAGTTGTCTCTTGGGATGTTCTTCGCCAATCATTCCCTGACCGTTCATACAACACTCCTTTCTTGACTGAACAGTCCTCCGATGTATCAGCTTCAGCACAATACCAGTCAGATCCATTCCATTTTTTTGCAATGTTAATGGCATAACAAACGAAACGTTTAGCACGCAACCTTTTCCGTTTGGCCTGCGAGTAAATGTAGTCTGTGTGAATGAACTTGAGCTGCTCGATTCGTTGAGAATGACAGTTCTCGGAACCTCGTCTTTTCTGCATACGTGGGATCCAGTTTCGGAGACGTTCTTATCATCCGGAGGCGCAGAAAATATGCTAAACAAGCTGATTATCAGTGGTAAGGATGAGACGATGAGCAGTAGGTGAGCAAGTAACTTCAGTTCAATATGTATATCTACTAATGTGATGTGACTCAGTCTCCTAAAGCGATTTTTAGACATTGGTACTTTGATGCGACGCTTGGAGGTATTCCTCAGTGTTTTACGAACACGGTAGGCTCCATGATTCCCATCCATGAATCACGCGTCTAAATGAGAACCCAGACGCAAAGAGGAAAGCGAAACGGTCCATGCTTTCTCTCATGCGCTCTCTGTGGTGCTCGTCTATCTACGTAACCAGCTTTCTCGTGGGCCCCTATCTAACTTCTGCATCCCTGTCTCTTCAAAGACCCTATCTGGAACATGGTTATATTATGAGGGTTTTGAAGAAATTGTCGTCTCTCTAGCGTCACTTTGCCAAAGGGTACGTCCGCTGGCGTTTTCTCGTTTACTTCTGACATACTCTTTCAGGGCCTTGGACTGTCTCCCTCGCGATATCCGCGATTCACGATGAAACCAGTGGCTTTACTTTCTCGAATATACAAATATCTCGATACCCATTTTCGTAAATTGTCTTCCCGGACTTTGATTGCTGTGTTTGCTTATCTCCTCACAATGACCTCAAAAAACTACTTGCAGGCATTGTGTCGCTCAGTTGCCTACGCTGACAGCAATAACCAACTGGCAGCAACAAGTCAGCAGCCTCAGCGGACTGCAATTGGTCCTTTGGACCTCGAAGACTTCGATCAGGCGTCGCCCGAGGATGATGGAGTTCTCTTTGCTGAAGATGATGAATTGCCGTCGTTTATACCACGCGATTTGGTGGATGCATTGCCAGCCGCTCAAAAATCTCTCAAATTGCTCGCTGCCGCAAAACCCGGTCATCCTATACTAAATCCCCCGGTGCAACGGCCGTTCATTACTTGGGTCTGGTCAACCAGAGACATTGAATACTTATGGAGAACGGGGTCTTTTGACGAGGCCGGTGATGTGGCGCCAACTATCAGCTCTCACAGTTCCCCTGATCTATCTTCGGCTGATGCTAATCTCCATGGATGCGACTACCAGCCCGACCTCGTCGGTTTTCGAGTTTTCGACCTGGAGCCTGGCTCAAACGGAGATGATACATTTAATGAGCACTCGATGCACGCTGCATTGGAAAGCTTCATCTTGTCCTTTCCACCCGTCCTTCCTTCAATCACCCCGAGCCTGAGTCTCCTGACTAGCCTAGTTTTTTCTCCGCTCATCTCACACGCCGCCTCCCTTTCTAATGCACTGTTATCGATATTTCTGGACCAGAACTCGTTCCTCTACGTACATGACCATCTGGTTCTGCTTCGTTCACATATGCTCCTGACCTCTCCATTATTCAAATCACGACTTACAGCTGCTTTGTTCTCTGACACCGATGACCGCGAGGTTGTTGCTGGAGGCGGAAAATTATTTGCACTGTCCCGGCAGAGGAGCAGATCTGCCGCTGGTGTGGCTCAACATGGCACCAGTCGTTGGGCTGTCGGCTTAGCTCCGTTCTTGACAGAGCGAGGGACATGGCCTCCTGGGGGTGCCGACCTTAGCTTTTTCTTGAGAACAGTCATCGTGGACTCTCAGGACACGTGTTCATTTGGCCCCGATGATAGCAAGGAGCATGAACTTGGATCGAGGCGCATAGCACAAGAAGCTGAAGTTCGTCTTGGGTTCGCCATCAGAGACCTCTCCAGCGATACGGGACGTGAACGATGGCTCAACCCACTTTGTAAGCTATGTTTTCCTTATGCATTATATGTACACACTAACTCATCATGTGCACTTAGACATCGAGTATGTAGCATCGTTTTTGCTGCAGAGGGAACGTGTTCATGAATTTCTTGACCAGGGCATTAGACTTTCTGTATCTTGACTACAAAGTTCCTCATCCTTTGGATGTTATTATCACACCAGGGACTACATCCAAATACCAAAGGATCTTCTCGTTCCTTTTACGTGTGATCAGAGGTGAGCCATGATTGTCTTGTACTTGCACATACGTTCAACGAAACTGTGTAGTGGAATCTGCCATTCGAGCGGCTTTTCGCATGACACATCAGAATGTACTTTTTCCGACCTTCAACCAATCTAGGAAACTCCTCACTCATTTCCGCTTCGTGGCGCATTCATTCGTAAATGCCCTCTCCACGTATATATCTGATGTGGCAATCGGGGGCAACTTCGACGCATTCCTGGCTCGAGTCACTGCATGTCGTTTGGGAACAAGCTCCGAGTTTACTGATGTCTTTTCGCTCGCCGACGCTCACTCCGCTGTCTTGAACGACATCCTCAGTGCTTGTTTGATGCGCTCAGCCCAACAAGCAGCTGGTGACCTTCTTCGTGGGATCCTAGAACTTATCCTAGAACTCTGCGTTATGATCGGTGACCTCAACGACGGGCAGTTGCAAGAGTACCAAGCGTCATTAACTCTTGATGCACTCTTTGCTGCATTTCGCAATAAAATGTCGACTATGGTATGTATTACATTTATGTTGCTAATAGGCTGATTCCGAATCCTTCGGTTGCAAGATCAAAGTCCTAGAGGTCCTGTTGGAGAAGGATTTGAAATCATCGCAACGTCAGGAACTCTTGCTTGCATTACAGGCACAAAGCGATGTTTGCCACGCCCCTGGTGGGGTGGAGGCGTTACGCCACCTCACATTACGCCTGGACATCAACGAATGGTGGAAGAACTTGAACTCGTAAAATGATTGCGGTCTAATGAAGTATGCAGTGATTACCTAATGTTATGAGATGTGTAGTATGAATTCCTGTATCGTATAAAACATAACCATAAAAAAAACACTAGTCATAAGAAATAAATAGCGCAAAGGTTAGAGCGCTGAATGGCTACATAGTAACACTGGGGCAACGAAGATAATTTGCTTTGAGGTAGGTGTTTACTCGCCGATCTAATCTTCAAATGCTTCATCGAACGGCTTGTCACCACCCATACCTGACGCTGACTTCGCTTTCGACTCTCGTGCAATCCGGCCACATTCCCTAGCCCATATAGCCCTGACTTCCTCTTCACGTACATCACTGGCAGCAGAGTCGTCAGTCACACCCAGGCCACGCAGGACTTCATCTGCGCGAATGGTCTCCGCAAGTTTTACATTTTGCCCTGTTGTTGCTCCCTTCACTACTCCACCGAATGATACAGCTCGACCGAGCGCACGACGTCCAGTCTTTGACGGAGAGGCAGCTGTCACGCGGGCAGACCTTGACACCACGAGTCCTATGGTTTCTAGCATTCCTATCAGGTCTGAAAACTCGCTTCTGGAAACTGGGGTGAAGATGTCGTTATCTGCACGTGTGAGCACAGTTGAGTAGTATGCATGCAGCTGTGCAACGTCAAGCCCAGCAGTTCTTTGAGAAACGACAGAGCCTGCGCGCTTCACAGGGGACTTGGTAGGCGTTGAGGTGGTGGATGTAGAAAAAGACAAAGTGGCCTCCATCCGCTTTGATGCAAGAAGTATGCATAGGAGAGCCAGTCTGACTTGCAGGCCGAGATTACGGACCTTGGACACGATCTCATTGCTGGTAGGGGATGGTGTTGAGGAAAAGGAGGAGCGGCCACCACTAGTGGAAGGTAGATACGCTTTAAGGGCTGCAAGGATGTGATTTGGCTTAACGATGAGAGGTGGAGTTGTGAGAGGATTTGCATCTGTATCTGGGACCTTCGAACCCGCGACAGCCAGATCTATTGCCCCTCGAAGTACCTCAAATAAGGCTCGAACGTCGCCAGTTTGCGAGGCAATTTTCTTCGTGAGGAGAGCTAATGTTGAAGGAGGGAGGAACTTTTTGGCTTGTTCTGTTGCTTCTGGGTATTCCAGATTATCGTAGAGAGGCGAGAGACGTGCTTGGAGCACGTGGATAAGTTGCTGGGAAGAGTATGCGCCGAAGTGAAGGGTCAGGGCGCTGGAAGCTTCATGAGTAGACAACTGCGCCAATGACGATGTAAGGGTATGTGTGTTTGCAATTCCGATGATGCGGAGGGTGGACGAATGTTTTTGAGACATAGAGAAAATTGACGACAGTGATTGATTTGAAGATGCAATGTGGTCGAGCTCGTCAAGCACAACAATGCTGGTACCGAGATCAGATGGCGAAATGAGCAGTGGTGCCAGTACATACCACCTATGATTTAAACTCGAGAGTGCTTTCTCGACCGTCTGCTTGCCCTTGGCTTTGCCAGGTTTTGCAGGATTCTTGGAAGCCCCTGTGCAATACAATTCTTCGTAAAGACGATCCCAAAGTGCATCCAGCCCATTCAAGGCCATGCAATTGATAGAAACGACTCTCAGGTCCGACGTCCCTTCGGACTCCTGGAACGAACGCAGGACCGAGTTAACAAGCGCAGTCTTTCCTGTTCCAGGTGTACCGGAGATGTACAGAGATGTGTGTGCACTATCACACCACGACGAGGTGATGAATTTTAGAACGCACTGTCGTTCATCCTCTCGGCCAGCTATAGGAGATACATCTGTGCTGGTCGAACGAAGTAGTCCACGGGCACGGGTATACACAGGAAGTAGTAAGACTGGGGGTGTTGGTGGGGGAGTAGATATCGCTAATGTACGAATGGAACGTGGTGTGTCGATTGTTACGTCATTCCACGACTCAGTACGGAATGGAGGTACGTTTTCCTTGTTTGAATCTCCTGCAACGCCGGAGAGCGAGATACGGGCGCGTTTGGATTTAGGGCTCTGTTCTGGGGTAAGCATATGCTGCGATAGCATTGCAATGTCACTTGTAGATGCTGATGAGATAGCCTTTTGGTCGACATGATGAGCACGCTTGCCAAGGACTGAACCAGATGACCGTGTTTGCATGATTGAAGATTGAAAGTAACACGGCTTGTGTGATTAGTGACGTTGACTAACTGTCGCCCAAGTGCTAAGATGGACGTTGACAAGAGACTGGTGAATGAACAAGTTCAGGTTTTGACCCTACTGTGGACAATTCGCATTATAGCGGGTTCCAAATTTCAAGCTCCGCTGATCACTCATTGTTTCAACGCGACGCGTAAGTCATGTGACTCTAATCGCGTCGTACTAATATTAGATTTCGTGTTCTTCTGATCCCCACCCGGACCGCTTGCCGGCACTGCCTGTTCGAAGTTCATCTGGTGTGACCATCATCATGGAGTGGTGTTTGAACGGCCCGACCAGGCTTCTGGCTTCATTACACGCTAATGCTATCCGCAGTACTTACTCGGTACCCTTTTCTAACATTCTTTTTTACCACGTTCGTTGCTCCTCACCCTTTCCTTGCCCTGGCAGAGTGTCACAGAAAACCTGACTGTAAGCATGCATCGCTCGCTTCCAGCCTTGACCTTTGTTCTCGCTTTGCAGTCTTTTGAGGTTGCAGGCGGCGCTGTATACCTGCAAGGACCGGTGTAAGTTCATGTGACACAAGCAGCAGATTTTTTCTCATTATGGGATTAGATCTATGTCTCCTCGCGATGACGGGGATAGTGGTGACGACGGTGATAGTGATGATGATGGTCCATCCACTAGCAGGACGACTTCTACCAGTACGACCTCTACATCTACATCTACATCTCAGTCAAGCTCGAGCTCCAAAACTCCTACCTCGGGCACGCTAACCAGCCTCAGCTCGAGTTATACCAGTTCCTCCAACTCATCCCAGAATAATGGGTCTTCGACTACTAGTCAAGGACTTAGTACTGGAGCACGAACTGGTCTAGCATTTGGGATAAGTGAGCTGGCATTATCAGAGCCTTTCTCACAAATATTGACTCAGTGTTTCCAGTGTTTCTCTTAATATTCTGCGCAATGCTAGTGTGTTACTTGAGGAAGCGATCTCGTAGGGCTCGGGAGAGTGTCAATTATGGACCTACCCTTCTGTCCTCAGAAGTGAGTCAATACCGTCCCCCCGACTCTGCTACATCTCTAGAGAGAGATCTTCCACGTCCGCCTCAACTGGATACTGTATCTCCTAATTCACCTGATATCTCGCATTCCTCTTCCCTCTCAGCAATTTCAAGCGCCGCTCCCTTACTGAGCGATAATTCACATCCAAGTTCACACCATTACAGCGCATTGTCGCAGGCATCAGATTCTCACCTGATAGCTACTCAAAACGCGCCTATTCTCCCAAATCCCTACGACCCATTCTCGGCACCCGCCCGCTCTGCGTCATACATATCCACGGCTTCTTCTGTAACACATTCGATACCCCATGGTGCTCTGATTCCCGCGAGTGCTGCAATGATGGACATATTTGCTACGCCTGTGGCTGGTAGTTCAAGCAACATCCAGCCCGAGCGCCAGCCTTCTGCGCTTCACACAGATATGACCCGACATCAGAAACAACTTGAACTCGACCACAGGAAGCTGAGTCTTGATGCTCAAGAGGCACAGGACCCTCCACCGCAATATCGTTCCTGACTGTAATCACGGACTGTAATGTGATAATTGAACACTTTCCCACTATTTAGCTGTTCTCACATAGATACCAATGTATGACCTGAACTAGTAGTAGCAGCAAAGCTTGAGGTTTCATTCGTAGCCTGTTTCTACTTGTTGTTTGCTGATCGTTGTCTATATTCTTCTGGTTATTTCATGCAAGGACGGTACGAAGTCTCCAACTCCATTTGCGACGAATTTTGTGTTACAATTTAAATCCACAATATTTGCAACACAAACCATATCCTATAGAAGTACAGAGCATTAAGTACAATGTACGGTACAGACCAATCTTCTGCAACAGGTAGTATCTGTGCATCACAGTTTCAAACCCGGACACATTCCAGACCAATTCAGCAAATATGAAACCCACAGGCTGCCATATGCCCTGCCTGAAACTTTCTTGGAGAGAGATCCTTGTCCATCAACCTTTCACTTACCTTTGCTGGCTGCCGCTTTAGCCTGTGGTCGCCAACAGGCCCTGGGTTCATCTGGTAGACGTGAAACCCTTTAGTAGGCTTTTGCTGTCTGGCGTAAATGTCCATCTACAAGCAGAATGCGAGTGATATATACATCAATCGTTATGGAGCGGGACACTGTGGCTCTCGGTGGGCCGGCGGCCCGGCATGATATCACAATGGTGCCACAACCCTCGACACGGGCTGGCTTTTCAGCTCTCGTAAAGCATCTCGGGCTCGAGTCGCTCCGTTGAACCTTGAACGATGACGAAGTCATCTGTACATACACATGCCTCACTAGTTGCGCTGACCACCACTCGATCCAGTTCTAGGTCCACCTCTAATACCCAGTCCAGTCCTAGAACTCCCAGTACAGGCACGACCTCCAGCTCTAGCTCCAGTTATGCAAGCGCGACTATCACAAATTCCTCAAGCTCTTCCCGGAAAACTGAAGTGCTTAGCACTGGAGCGCGAGCTGGAATAGGATTTGGGATAGGTGAGCTGACATTTCACGAGCGTTTCCGTCCAAAATTTTGATTTGTTTCTTGCCTTATTCCAGCATTATTTTTGCTATTATCCCTACTTCTGTTTTACTACTTGAAGAGACTATATCAGAGGACCCGGGAGAAAGCTGATTATAAGCCTGCCCCTTCGTCATCGGAAGGGGGAGGAAGCCTTCTACCTCCACCTCGGCTGGATGCTGCATATCCAAATTCCCAATGGCCATTCGCACCACCCGCTCGCCCTTCCTCGTACTATTCTCCAATATATTCGATACCCTATGAAACTTCAGGCAATAGTGGCTAATTTGAGTGCGCCAGCGGCCGATAATTCAAGCAACTCTCATCCTGGGCGTCAGTCGTTGGCGCCTCGTGCAGATATGACTCGACATCAGAATGAACTCGAAGAAAGGAAACGAAAATTTTATGAGGTTCAAGAACCGCACTACCCTCCGTCGACTCAATATTCTTTTTGAATGTCATCCACGCGCACTGGCAATGTGTCACGATAATCCAGCTCTACCACTTTTGAAACTATTCCTTCACATATTCTGATAAGATGTTTAAAGCCTGGACTTTGAACAGCACGAATTTGTAACGCTTGTCCATCATCGATCAAGGCCTGCGCCGCTAATTTTGTTCCTGATAGGTATTCGCTTGTCGCTACTCAAAGAACTAGTAGTAGATCGTTTATCGGAGGTGGTACCACCTGAAGAGTCTATCAGTCTTCGGGGGATTCAATATTCAATGACCATGGATTCGCTGCGCTACTTTATTTATTGTTTCAGTCGCTCTCCCCAGTACGATTGTTTTTCCTCACTAAAATTCATCGGTCTACTTTTCCCCAATTGAAACCCACCGGATTCTCCCGCAGCTCGAAACTTTAAGTCGACGTCAATCTCTGAAGTTGAAATTCGATAAGCCGATCTCAACAATGCCGTTAGCCGCGTCATGCGGCGAGATATAAGTCGCCATCCTATCGGACTTATCCCATGATGAAATTTAAACAGGCAGTGCACGTGATGGACTACGCATACGTAGTCCTCGGGCATGACTCGGGTATGAATCGGTGTACTGACCGACCTACTCACATATAATTAAGGTAACGACATGCATGCTCCTTCCCTCATCGAAGAAGTCTCAGCTGCCAGCCAACAACGATGGCACTGTCTATCCGTCCATTGACAATACCACCAGGCCCCACACTTAGCACCAGTGGACCACCAACTGTGATCACTACTTCATCCGGTTCGACGAGTACCAGTGGACCACCAATTGTGATCACTACTTCATCCGGTTCGACGTCTACTAGTACTACATTTGATACCCAGTCCAGCACTCCAAGCAGCTCTAGCTCAAGTTACATAAGCACAACTAGCACAACCTCAAGCTCGTCCCAGAAAGGACTTAGCGGTGGAGCGCGAGCTGGGATAGCACTTGGGATAGGTGAACTGACGTTCTACAACCCTTTCCCTCCAAAATATTGACTTGATTCCAGTGTTTTTCTTGATATTATCCGTCCTGCTATTTTACAACTTAAAGAGACTATATCAGAGAGCTCGGGAGAAAGTCGATGATAAGCCTGGCTTTGTGACGGCGGAAATTAGTCAATACCTTCCTCCTCGATCTGTTGCATCTGGAGGGAGAAATTCTCCACCTCCACCCCCACATCGGATGAATACTGCATATCCGGCTCCAGCTCATATCTCGAGTGCTGCTCCTTTGTTGAGCCACAATTCCCATCGTAATTCATACCCCGTATCTGTATCTGCTCAGAACCGCTACAGCACATTGTCGCAGGCGACAGACCCTCAGCAAATGGCTACACAGGATGCGCCTACTCTGCCAAATCCCCACGACCCATTCCCAGTACCTTCTCGCCCTGCATCAAACTATTCTCTAACACATTCAATACCCTATGATGCTTCGGCGAGTGCTACAATGATGGCCTCCAATATGCCAGCGGTCGGCAGTTCAAGCAACTCCCAATCTGAACGCCGGCTTTCAATGCTTCACACAGATATGATTCGACATCAGAAGGAGCTTGAATTCGAACACAATAAACGGAGTCTTGATCAGACTGAAGAACCTCCACCACAATATCCTTCTTGAGTGTATATATCACGGATGATTTAGTCTCTATGTAAAAAGACATAACAGTACCGATTTGTAAATCGTTCCTAAGAGGTAGTTTCTATTCTCCGGCAGTTACCGATCACCTACTCTGTCTCTCACCATGTAAAGTAGTTAACGTTGATGCTATTCCTTGGCTATTCTAGAAGAGAATTACGCTGACCACCGCGACAGTACTCGGGACCATGCATTTGAGCATACTTTTTGAACCGTTTCCTTTGCCCACCACGTTCGGTGCTCCCCGTCTTCTGCAAGGTCACGGGCATATCCCGCTTGTTTCCAGCCTTGTCTTTTGTTCTCGCATTGCAGTCCCTCGCGGTTACAGATAGTTCACACCTGCGGGAGCCAGCGTGAGTTCATGTAAAAGTACAAATGGATCGCTGTCGTCTCAAATTCATTAGAATTATGCCCCTCCGCGATAACGGAAGCGGGGACGATGATGATGACGATGACGACGATGTATCTAGCACCACAACTACACACCATACCACCAGTACCTCCACCTCTATACATCCTTCCAGCTCCAGCTTTTTCCTTGGCTCCAGCTCCTTCTCCGGCATCAGCTCCTCCAGTTCCAGTTCCTTCTCTGGTTCCAGCTCCTTCTCCGGTTCCCCCATCCCCACCTCTACAATCACTACTCATTTCAGTTCCACCCCTATTACTCAGTCCAGCTCTGTCTCTACAATTGCCGATGCAGGCATGTCAGATTATACAAGCACTACTAGTAGTACCAGTTCCTCAAGCTCAGGGCAGCACAGTGTACATGGCTTAACTTCAACTGCCAGTCACGGCCTCAGCACTGGAGCGCGAGCCAGTTTATCATGCGGAATAAGTGAGATGATGTCTTCCAAGCCTTCCTATACAAAATATCAAGCCAATAACAGTGTTTTCTTTAATATTATCCGCACTGGTAGTTTGTTATATCAGGAAACGGTCTTCTCGCCCTTGGGATCAAATTATTGATGAACCTACCATTCCTTCCTCGGAAATCAGTCAATATTGCCCCCCTAATTTCATGGCTCCTCGGGAGGGAGGACTTTCACCTTCACATCCGAGTCCACCTCGACTGGGCACTGCATGTACGCATTCACCTGATATCTCGCACTCTCCGCCCCTTCCATGCATCCCAAGCACCGCCTCCATGATGAACGATGATTCTTGTATCGAAATTTATACCCTCTATCTGCGAGGAGCCACTGTCATGGATAACAAATCCCTGCCAATACATCCTCAGCGCCCACCCGCTCTGCGCAGTATGCGTCCACAAGCTTTTCACGAACACGTTGAGGACCCTATGGGGCTCGGGTCCCTACAATTACCGTGATGACGGGCATTTTTCTATGCGACTAGTCGGTAGCTCAAGTAAGTCAACTCGAAAACAGGCAACGGAGTCTTGACGTTCAAAATAGCAGAACCCTCCGCCAGAATAATTCTTACAGTGGACACCACGGCCTACCTTGCGACAATTCACTTTATTCTCGCATTTTGGACTATTTCTTCGAATGCTGTGATAGGTACTTAGAATCTGGAGTTTGAAGACTAATGTGTTTGTCTCGTCAAACCTCGAGGCCGCAGCGCCAACTGCTGGGAGTCCTTGTTTCTACTGGGAATCCTTGCTCTGTAAGATACGCTCCATATATTAATAGCTTTGTTGCTATTCTTATTGTTTCACCTTGCCTATTTCCTCACACTGCTGAGGCTGGCATCCAAATGATATTAGTCAAAAGTCTGAGTCGGTCATCTGTGTTCTCTCGCTTAGTTTCACCGGTTTACTGATGGGCCTCAGCGTCTACACACACTGTTTCGCACGCATATTTCGCACCTGCAAATCCTTACGATGCTTCAGTTCTTGCGAGTGCTGTAACAATGAGCACATTTAGTGTGCCAGTGGCACTCCCGGGAGCCCCCGTTCAACCTTACATATGTCTGGTGTAGCATTAGAAGCAGCTCGGGCTCGAGCTCGATAAACGTCTTGAAGTCTAGAAAGGACTGCCAGTGCAGAACCCACTGCCAGAATATTCTTCTTGAGTATATACTAATGTGCCACGGACTAGACTACTCTAACTTAGCTCCCTCGTTTTTTTGGAATTTTTGTCTTACATGCCTATTTTCAGTTTTGCTGATCTTCTGGTGGTAATGAACATTGATTGTATGATGTACTAGGTATTTTCGCATTTATGTCGTTCTATCTTCTGCATGTTTGGTACATTCGCAACGGTTTTTGCGCTGCGTCGTGACGCCGTTTGCCATAAACTCTCGAAGGACGCGGCCAAAGTTCATTGCTGTCAATGTGAAAGCACGCCTGACATTCGTATCACCGTCAGGCAGATATCTCGATAAAGTGGCAGACTTTATGAGCCAGGTAATGTAGAAGGAAGTCAGACTTTTGACTTGAAGAACTTGACAGAATCTCGATTTCGGCCTTCCTTCGGATGTGGAGCATCCGCGTGAGCTCTTTTCTGTGGGTACATTTAGCATCAAGTCGTGGTAGGAAACTTACACCTGCCTCCATTTCGTGGGCACAACATCGGTGGGACGGCTGAGTAGCGTGAGCGCCTACGGAGGATAATGACAGAGTTGGACTCATGGCGGGGCAATGAAGTCCATCTTACCTTCTTCTCATCATGCAGCGTGATCGGGATCAGTGTATCCAAATCGATTTCAAGGCTATGAAGAGTGAACCACTTCAGTCAGGACGGGGGTAGAAAGTTATCAGTATCTACCCTGCAATTTCGGATACCCAGATGCCAAGCCATTCGATTCGTTTTGCTGCCAGATTTTTGTTTTCATGTCGTAGGCTGCAGCTGCCGTGCTTGTACACCGATAGAATGTCGAGCCCATACGCATCGCCATCGACAAGTGCAACGATTGGAATACTATTGAATGTGATGATAAGTACTTAGAGACGCTGCAGCTTCGACTCACTGCAGCGGAAGGTTGTCTGACAAGGTTTTTACGAGTTGTCGAGTGGCCACGTCAGGATATCCCTTACCCTGGAGGAAGCATATAAGCAGCGACGCAGCTAGTGTCATACCACTTAGTTACAGTGATTATGAGCCCAGGACCGGGAAGCGACTGATGGCTTGCAAACTGAAAACGACACAGCGTCTGAAAGATGGCCTAGAATGAGAACCAGATCAACATATGCTGTAAGGAATGGCCTTCAGAAAATACCTCTTTTTCGACCACAAGGACCCATGAAATATCCCCTTTCAGTTCAAATCGCTCTATGGTTTCACCCGCAGGTATCAAAGTTCCCTGACAACCGCATTCAAAATTTGGGCTTGTCTTTCTGGAAGATATATTTACCGCTAAGTCATTAATAGAAATCGCTTCGCCTTCGAGAAGGTGAATTGTCAGCCCAGTGCCGCATATAAGGCCCTTTGACGCAGCTCGCTGGAACAATGTTGAAGGAATTATATCCAAGATAGAGTGACAGAGAGGTTACAATTTTGAGGTCGGCCCGTTCTAGGCCCAATGTTGCCGCAAGATCATCGACGAGCTGACAGCTATGAGTGCCAATGCTGACGTTCTGTGCTCAGAGAACGCACTCGATCAACGGATCCCTGAGCTTTGAAAAGAGGGACATCCTTGTAGTACATGTCACTAGGAACAGGGCCAGCCTCTTCTTAGTTCCTTCTTAGACTTCATAAAAGACAAATACCGCTTTGTTAATGGCACATTGTCGACTAAGGCTTGGTGAGAAAAGTTCATGACACGTAAAATCTGCGCTGTGTGCGAACGGTCATCGGGTGAAAACGAAGCTATCATGAAACAACTACCGGACCAACCGAATGGCTTTAAACTTGCTTCTCTTCGTCTAAGGGGGTATCGTATGACTCTAGTGCTAAAAACACTGGCACATCAGGGAACTGAAATAGCAGTTTTTGACCTGAGGTAAAGACATTACCATTCGGAGGATGTTTTGTGACGGTCAGCTAACTGAAGCTCGATTTTGGGGTGTTTTGATCTTGAATTAATTGCTGCTTGAGAGCTTGTAGACGCTATGTCAGCCCGTTGGTTTCGTAGTGAACCAGCGAGTTGTTCAAGAAACGATAACGCTAGTCGTTCTAGTTTTTGTATTGCCTCAAAGCTTATCGAGGCCTATCAGTAAATAATGGGGCACTTATATTAGACGTACTGCGAAGAGCCTTCCTCATTGTCTTCGGCAGACTCCTCCGATTCTGACTCTGCGTGTGGATACACATCATCTGGACCATCGGGTACGTCACAATCGCCATCGCCCTTGGAGACTTGCTCGTTATGTAGCTCATGAAAATCTTCGTCGTGAGCCTCATTACTAGCTGGATGTTGTAGAATCGTGTCCGCATCAAGGATTGAGGCCATGATTGAAGACTTGAAAGAACATTCAACTTATTATGTACATCAGGAAATTGACTTGAAACTGTTATGACCAGATATTAGATAGTCAATTGCTTACCACTAATCGTGCAGTCACACAAGAAGGTTACAGTGAGTCAGTGTTGAGTCAGTGTATCGTCTAGTCAATTTCAGAGTGGTCGGCGACCGTATGTAAGCTCACTATCCCACAAACGCGTCGATCACGTGCCCAGTCAAAGAACCAATATATCACGAAAATGGACATTAACCTTCATGAACCCAAAATACAAAACGAGTAGGAAACAGGTTGACCAGACAAACATCAACGTTAGCCCCAAGGGGAAACATCTATGTCAAACCACTTGGGTAACTTTCTCCAGAAGTCTTCCTTTGCTGCATCAACCACCGCTCCAAACTCCACACGACAGTGTTCGCACGTTTTCATGGGAGAAGCCTCGCCGTTCGACGGGTCGTCGCGGATCTGCATTTGCTCTGCTTCGGCCATCGCGTACAGTGGGTCTGAGGTCCGATTACTGATGATGCCGTTGATGTCTCGCAGAAGTTCGAAGGTGATGGCCTCGAACGCAATCTGGCATGTCCTCTTGTTGACAGGGTGGCCATCCTTGCGACGTAGACACCATTGAGAAGGCTGCCTTCCTTCCAAATTGTTGACTATGAAAGTTGAGAAAAAACGAGAAGCTTGTTCGCGACCTTTCAGAACGGCTAGAAGATCGGCGTATGCTAATCTGACGTTTGCGCCGGTGAATGGTGACACAAAACCAATCGCAGCTTCACTCGGAGTGGATCGGGTTAAGTCATACATTGCGGATGGCAGGAGTGGCAGGTGATCGATTTCACGAGCGAGGTTAATGATCTGTCTGATTCAAAAAGTGGTCAACATTGAACAGTAAATCAGTTAACTCGGCTAACATAGGGTGCGGCAGAGAATCGCGTGGTGTATATGTACCATCTTGTCCGGTCACAGAGGCCTCACGCATGTCCCATTGGGCAAGGGTAGTAGGCCAGTAGTTGGAGAGTCCACGCAAGATATCATTCCGTAGATGGTGCACCTTGTACTTGGTCAACATGTGGAGGAGGCCTGAGAGCGTTGGAAATCCCTCTGAATCATAAGTTATGAATGATCTGTTGTACGTCAGCTAGAATGGAGAAAGAAAGGCGCATGTTCTAACATTCCATCATACATCGCTTTCAAGAAGTGTGCTACATCTGTAGACGGATCCGGTAAGGTAAGGACTGGACGGTCTTCGAGTGTCGGAGTGTTGTCCATGGAGCGCATAAGCTCATCCAGAACCTCAGAATGGCGTGCCAGAAGCCCTTGATGAACCAAGAAATAGGACATGCCAGCGAGCAAGACTATATTTCCATCGTTAAAGTAAAGGTCATCGTGTTTGCTCGCCATGTGCATGGCCATTTGCACATTCGCGGAGTGCCTATTAGTGCTGAAATCTGCCGCATGCATGGCGATAGTTTGGCTACTAGCGCGCTCCGTGTTTTGATAGTGAAAAGCAGATCGATGTACGTCAACCGTGAGAATCTGAATTTTAAGCTTGCCCTTGACTTACTTTTGTTCCAGCACAACTGAATTGTCTGCCCTTGCTCTTGCTCTTGCACTAGCTCATCCTACTATCTGCTTTTCAATATGGCTGATGCTCCAACTGTCCGTGTTGTTCCCGGTGCTCTCCCTCCTACGTCACAGGCAAAAATTCAAAAGAAAAAACGTCGATCACACAAGCCAAAAACTGCAGACTCGCCTCCCGAGGGCTCTGTCATTATTCCTGATGCTGCTTCTGCTGCTCCTGTTGACCGGGCACCAGAGGAGGCGGATGTGAAGGAGGGTACAGTCGCTCCAGAACTTGTTGCGCCTTCTGAAGCTGCGACCTTCGACGAATTCACCCCCAAATCTAGTCCGGTCGTAGAAATTCTCCAGAAGCGCTTAAAAGCTTTGAACAAGAAGATAGTACGTGAAATTATAATTGTCCATTTTATCTTCGGCACCAGATATCTGATGTATGTCTTCCAGTCCCGCGTAGGGAGTTATGCAGCAATCGAGTACGAAAAACTGGACGATGACCAAAAGCGAACCCTGAAGACCCTTTCTTCGTTGGAGGCCGTTCACAAAGAACTAAAAGACGTCAAAAAATTGATCGAGGTTCGAATAATACCATCATATACCTAACGAAAATAATAAATCTTTTTGCGCACCAGTCCCATGAAGCTGACCTTGCACGCGAAATAGCAGCCAGACGTGCAGAGGCTGAAGCTGCGGAGGCTGTCAGAATCGCTGACTCTGTTGCTGCTGCCGAGGTAGGGAATTTATTACAATTGATGGATTTTGTAGCTGAGTTCTTATAGGCATCGTCAGCTGGCAAAACCTCTGCCATACTGTCTCTAATTCGCCTTCATACATGTCTCTCAAATCGCCAGCCTCTTCCTGTCGTTCTTGATTTCAATGAAGCTGAAGGAGATGCAATATTTTCTGTTTGCTCGACTCTCACCACCGAGGAGTCTGAGTTCAAGCAAACAATCCTATCTGGTCTTCTATCTGGACAAGGCGACTTTAATGGTGTTTCGTGTAAGAGCGTCCACCCGACTCAACAACCTAGAATCAAACTGACAGTCTGATAGATGCAAGGCTACTGGATATTGTGCAATCTTTCCTGAACCCCCCACGTGAACCAACGCCCTTACCGGCAGAGCCTGATGCAGCAACGGAAGTTGCTTCTGAGCCTTCAAGTAACTCGCACACTGAATCTCAACCTATCGCCGGGATCCCCACTACCAGCATTCTGAGTGGCACTGGTAGCTTCCATTTCATGCAGGCGAGCGAGCTTGAGACCGCTGACTTCGAGAGTACTGCTGAGTGGGTTGAGAAATCCGAGATTGCACTAACGCAGAATGGTATTCTCGAGCACGAAGAATCTACACCTTCATCTGTGAAAGCCGATGTAAGTTTGATATTCGCCCGCAGTTATAGCATGCTTGCTTCAGATTATAATTATCATTGACTCCGCAGGGTACACCTGCGCAACCTATTGATTGGGCCGAGGCGGACGAGGAAGGTGGTTTGCCATCGATTGCAAACCTGCAAGCAAGTTTTGCCCCTTCAGGATCAGCCACTCCTGTTGCTGAACCCATACCTACACCTGCGAATGGCGTCGAAGTTGTCGCTGCCGCTGTCCCGGAGCCTGAAAATGATGGCTTCACACAGCCACGAGGTCGCGGACGTGGCAGAGGTTTCCGCGGTGAGGGACGTGGTGGACGTGGTGGCTACCGTGGGCGGGGTGATTTCCGTGGTGGCGATCGAGGGAACTTCCGTGGCAGCTACAGAGGCGGCGAGCGTGGTGGTCTGTCTTGGTCATTTTGTTCACGATATCCACTCACTCCATTTTTCGCAGGTTATCGTGGTGAACGGGTTGAGCGTGGTGAACGAGTCGAGCGTGGTGAGCGGGTTGAGCGGGGTGGCCGGTCTGATGGCGACTGGCGAAGCGACGAAAATCGTGGACGTGGCAGGGGACGCGGACGTGGACGTGGAGACAGGGGAGGTGAGTAATCTAACATGTTGCCTGCATCAATTTCTGAGATAGATGTCCAGGATATCATGAGGCGCGCGGAGCTCCTCCTTCTTGAGAGTAGTTTCTGTGAACACACAGGTGTTGCAGGTCTCCTAGATCGCGTCCTGAGCCTCTGACCACAGTTGCATGCACTGCTATGGTATATGTTTTTGATGTATGTGCACCTTACCTTCACATGAAATGACATTCCCGATTCTTGCTATTTCATTGGAAAGCTTGCTGCGATATCAGCGATTCCGATGTTTATGCATTATGTCTTATATTGATCGATCGACTTGTCCCTAAGCCTCAACAGCTAGTGCTCTAGCGCTGATCGGCGAACGATGTGTGCGGTGTCTGTAATTTACAGGGACCAGCCTATATTGTCGGTCTCGGTGTGCATGGGCTAACGGTAGTAGCGGTGCATGTGCACCAATCCCCGTTTTCCACTTCCGATCATTTTCTCATTGGCTTTCTACTTGCCGCTCTTCAAGTATACGCTAATCATATGGCGTGAGGTATTTCTACTTGACATTCTTATCTATGACGCTCCAAAGCGAACTTAAATATTCAGGCGATACACTGCCAACTTCCAAGTGTGCGATACACAACGACAGACTGCACAAGACAACATATCAAAGTGTGCAACACAGCTCACAAGCGTATTCCAAAACCTAGTATCACAACGGGAAGGACTTGGTCAGGTTGGCAAGGTATAAGCAATGAATGGAAGCTTCATGATTATTACTAAAAATATATATACTAAGTAGATGGCAGCAGGGTACGAGAGATCAGACCAGGGACAGGGACAGATGGGCTATCAGGGTCGCCGATACCACACAAAGATTATATCGGATGGTTGAGGCTCTACGAAGTCAGGCAGGCAGCATATGGAGGCATGAATAACACTGGAAAAGTGGAAACAACTCAGGAGTGGTCTCCCAACAACGACCGAACCATCATTCCGGTTCAACAAGCTGAATAGAGAGTTGATCGACACACCAGAAAACAGATGTAAGTGACTTTTTAGTTGAAAACAGTAAGCAAATTCGACAATCACAGCTTTTTGAAATGAGTGATTTCGGGCTGTGGTGCGACGCGCTTCCTCGATTAGTCAGCTGTTGTTGCTATGTTATGCATCTCCTGTCAAATGATGGTAGTGCTTTGGGAGTTCCATCATAAGGATGGCAACACGGCCATCCGGTCATCGCAGCTTTATGTGAGTACATAACTACTGTTCTGCAGTCTCTAATCTGATTTTGATCAGTCGCTGCTTAGTGCTATAGGAACCAGAGCGCTGATCATCCGGGCTTTCATCGACCAAACCTTGCGGATAATAGGCTGACCCAGTATGCCGCTGACAGAATTCATAATCTCAGTCCTGCCACTTCTCATTTAGGATCTTGTACAGATGTTCGGTTGTACTATGTGTTACCGAGTATCAAACCATCACCGCGGCGCCAGCATAAAGTAATGATTTTGTTTGTCCAAAGATAGCAAAAAAAAAAACCAAACCGCACACAAGGAGACAACCGGATGAGCGTTAACATCTTCTCTTCCCTCGCACTACCCTAAGATGTCGTCAGTTTCATTTCTCGTCGACGATAAATCTCCTTTGATACACTACGATTCTACCTGGGCTGCGGGGAACTCTGGGGATGACCCTTTAGCGGACCAGTCTGTCTTTTATGTCATTTGCCTTGCGATTTATGAATACCAACTATTCTCAGATACTTCCGCGGGACGTTCCAGACATCGAACGTAACAGGGAGCGTCGCTACATTCTCCTTCAACGGCACGGCCTTCTGGATATATGGTGCTAAAAGAACAAATCATGGTACATATACCGTGGCAGTCGACGGCGCAAATTTCGCGGGAAATACTGGCCTATCCAACGTCAATTTGTTTCAACAAGTGCTCTTCAACCAGAGTGGCTTGACACAAGAGTTACATACGGTATCGATTACAAACACTGCCACTGGGAACCTCTACGTTGATATCGACATGGTGGAGTGTGTCTAACCTTTGGCCAGTTCAACAGCTCATTATTTTTGCTCGTCAAAGGTGACTTGGCAGACCGAATTTAGCGGGACCCAGCTAGTAACAGAGACGGTCGATGATGCGGACCCCAGATTTGAGTACCAGGAGCCAGCGTGGAACACGAACCCCGCTGGTATAAACCTGTTCAATAATGGGACTGGACAGTGAGCATCTCTCTCATACTGTCATGAAAGTTTTCAATGATGTCGTTTAGCTCCACGAGTGTTAGTGATGCCAGTGTGACCTTGACATTCACAGTGAGTGCTTGAGAGCCAAAAATTATCCGTGTTGTACTAATGGATAATTCAAGGGCATGTTACGTAGCAACGAACATACTTGGAATTCCAGCTAACATACAGCCCATCAAGCCGAATCTGTGAGCATATTTGGCACTGTAGGCCCTGGCAATGGTCTGTATTCTGCCACTCTCGACTCTCAAAAAACTATCCAGTACAATGCTACAACATATTTGACTTTCTATGAAGTCATGCTTTATCATGCAGACAATCTTGGCCCTGGTCAGCACCAGTTGACCCTCGTCAACCTGCCTGAAACAATTGGACAGACGCTCAATATAGACTATGCACTACTTACATCAAGGTGACTATGGTTATGTGCTGGTCTCGCACATGACTCCTACACGTCATGATGCTAATTAACGGAAGCTCCAATTCCTCCAGTTCGTCGGGAAGTCCGACATCTGGTTCTGGCGGTTCCTCAGGAACTTCAACTTCAAGGTGTGTACGTCGATAGACTTTTCTCACACAAATTAGTTAACCACTACATGTGTGCAGCGTCGATGAGGTTTCAACTTCAACGTGAGGTAAATTACTTTTAGCGACCTCAATGACTTATACGCTAGGCAGACGTTTAGGTTCTGGGGCTATTGCAGGTATTGTCGTAGCTGTCGGTGTGGCTCTCTGTGCATCGGCAGCTGCGTTCTTCTTTTATTGGCGGTGGAAATCGGCACATGCAGCATCGCAGGACTTGTATCGGATTCGTACACCTCAACATTCCCCAGAAAATGCTAATATGGGCGCTTCTTCCTCAGTGGAGACGAGAAGTAATGCTAGCCTTGTCAGACAAGAAGACACCTTGTCCCGAGGCACTTCATGGCAGTCATATCAACAGGCAGACTATGATTCTCAGAGATCGTCTCGTACTGCAAATAGACTACATGCCCCTAATCCTAGCATGCCTACTGTAGATGAAGTCGAATATCCGGTTGATGAGGTAGGAGCCACAATCAATTTTTGTCTCTTTTCTGAACAACTTTATCCAACTCTTCTTACAGTCAGGAACTTCACGTCGCCCTCTACCTGACGCTCCAGGTACTCGGCAAAATATATTCCAGCTGCCAGTGCCCGATGATTCAATGGGCATCTCAAAGGCCTCACCAGTGCAGCGTCGCGCATCAATGCAAACGGCTTCTACAAACATTGGGGATATCCCGCCCCCTCCCGATTACATGCAAGCTACCAGGTGATCCACCTAGGTCCCTTTAGTATTTTCCCATAAATGCACCGTATGTTTTCATCCTAACTATGTCAGTGGTAATCTCTATACCCGGGATCTAGACAGTAGCCTACAATACTGCACATTTCTTACTTATTCACGTCACTACTAAGTTACAGTCTTACACAACTTATCTTCATACCGGACGTGGTGCATGTGATGTCTCGAAGTCCTGATTCTTCTTGACTACATAGTACAGACTCACTTTATGTAAAAAATATATCAGCTGTTATATATTGGTTCAGTTACTTCAGGATCAAAATTTCAAGCACAGGATGCAGCTCGACCTGAGCTGCCGCTTTGAAAAACACACTACATATATCTATCTTGTCTTGTCAACACACGAATTAGATCTTTATGATTGACAAGCATTGGTAGTGACACCTACGTCCCACATGCCATCAGGAAAGCGAAGTGGCGAGATCATGTCTGCACATGCGAAGCAAGCCTCCGCCGTTCCCGCCGCGCGTTTTAGACATGCAATCTATTAAAGGAAAGGTGACTTTGAGATAGTACACACGCAATAATGTAACTGAGTAAGTAAGGATCTTCTGGACGCGTTCTCAGCCGCAAGAGCGGCTGGTATACGGGTTGGATGAGATAAAAGAAGAGATATTGACCAGGTGACGGCTGAATGATCTGGTTCTTCTGAGTTTTGACTGAGTCCAAGATTAGTATATTGGATGATTGTGTGATTATGAGCTTGCGTTATTCAATCAGTTTGAGATTATTGGAAAGAGACGAAACAAGAATGAATCAGTGGGGAGTGCCAATCAGGAATACATAATTCGTTACAGAGTGCTCTGTAGCACTATGTAGCACAATCCACCCCACTGATTGACGATGAAGTTGCTGATCGGCGCCTGACGTGCACGTAAATCGAGGTAGGTTAGGTTCTGTTCAAGGGTGGAAATTAGGTGGAAACGAGGTCCGAACATTTCGTGTTGTAGCCGAGTACTTATGCAGCAAATCGGGAATTCAGAAACGGGATCAAATAAACCTTCAAGGAGCACGGTGGCTTGGGGCACTTCCTTTTCAAGCAACCCACACGAACACAACGCGAGACGTTGTCAAATTATGACATTCTGCCGTGCGGCCGGTATGCTACTGACACATGAACAACAGTGATGACGGAAAACGGTGGTTCTCGTGCGAAATGCGAATGGGACATGCGTGATAAGGCGGTGGGAAGTAAAATGTGATGACGTATTGTATGACTGAATGTATGCGAATGAGAGCAGTGATAGACGAGAAAGCAGGATCGATAATTAAGGGCTGCGACGCGGTGTCGATAGGTTAAGAAAGTGCGAGATTTTCGTTGACTACGTCTGAGGTTATACGTCCCGGGTCTATGAGAAGCTTCGTGGCTCCGCCGATTCGTATCAGGAGCTCCAGAATTGGTTGCAGCGCTCCAGGAACCGCTGTTCAGTCATGGAAGTCCAGGCGCCGGTGGGGGTTTGAAAGGAGAATAGAGGAGCGTGAGATGGGATGTTGGGATTGGCCTCGAGGTGACGAAAGAGGGCTGCGTGAGGACATGTAAGATGGTCTCGAGAGGTAACATTGATGTCGACGCCGTTATTACCGGTGGTTTTGGTCCATGGTATGTGGAAGGTCGAGTAACGTATAGTGTTTGACTGTTGAGTAACAATGGGCAAGATGGAGCGGGTTACGTGCTTGGTCATATCAGAGGAATCAAAAGCGGGAATGACCAGTTCCTCCAGACTGGTTGTATGTCATGTTAGAAAGGGTTGAAAGGAAAGTGGTAAAAGTCGTACCGACAACCGCACCAGAAAACGAGAGAAGCTATGGCCAGAACTGCCGTATTGAAGGTATTGGAGTGTTCAAGGCCTTGGTACAACTGAACGAGCGACTCGAAAGTGATCGGAGGAGCATGCTGGGGGTTCAAGTTTGGCGGAGCGAGATGGCGAAGACCACGCTGGACGTGACGAAGACATTCTGAACGTTCACCGTACCACTGAGCACCGTTAATGACATGCCAGAAGCGAAGGCCAGCGAGCCAATTGTCCGCGGTGCTACTGGAGATAGAACCGGCAGCATCTGCAATGAAGATGGAAAGAAGGACCTCAGAGGCAGGCATACGGTCTTGTTCCGGTATGGAGAGACGATCACAGAATTGGTTGAAATGTAGTAGGCCTGCGCCGTAGTCATTGCGAGTGCTTTCGTCCAGTGACTCTGCCATGACAAAGAATAATTTGACTACATAGGATTCTGGATAAAGCTGCTCCAGCTGATTTTGAAAAGTGATACCGTAAGGAGTGGTCCAGAGAAGGACACGTTCACTGGCAAGTACAGAAGGACGGTAGTTGACAGAAGCATTATTGCAAGACTCGCTGCTTGGTATACGAATTGGCTCATCGGGACGAGTGACCCCAGCTGCCTGACGGACCTGAGGCGAAGAGCCATTGCGACAGAACTCGGCGGCGGCTTCCATGTCTATACCACGCATAACATCTTTGTGTAGTTTCGAGGTCAACATGAAAGATGACAAATTTTTGAGAATGGATGTGATGAAGAGAGAATGAATCCGAATTCCGCTGATGGGTCTACGTATGATGTATCATACCCATCAATTATACGTCTTGATGAAGCCATATGTTCAAGTTATCAAGCACGATTTTCGGCTTCTCATCAATTCACAATGCATGAAGAATGGTCGCACACGCTCCTCCAATCCGACCCAATGCGCTTCTATCGCAATAAGCGCGACCGCCTACACCAGGCTGTTACGTCCAAGTACACCATCCTTGGTTTCATATCTTCTGGAACATATGGTCGGGTGTACAAAGCGCAGAGCCTGGAGCCAGACGGGCAGATCCATGCGATTAAAAAGTTTAAACCAGACAAAGAAGGGGATGTTGTCACATATACTGGTATCAGTCAGAGCGCCATTCGAGAAATCGCAGTAAGCTTGTTCATTTTGTTCTGCATCAGAAGGCTTCAGCAGCCAGTTACCCATCTAGTTGAATCGAGAAATCTCTCATGAAAACGTTGTTGCCCTCAAGGAAGTTATCCTAGAAGACAAGTCGATATACATGGTTTTCGAATATGCTGAACACGATTTTCTTGTGCGTCATCTCTGTCTAACATATTGAGTGATTTCTTTGACCAGTGGCACTTCGTTCGGCGCAGCAAGTAATACATCACTATTCGCAAACCCTTCGAATACAGATCGCATCACAAGTTCTCAAGTCCCTGATCTATCAGCTTCTCAATGGCCTGGTATACCTTCACTCTGCACATATCCTTCACAGGGACCTTAAGCCCGCAAATATCCTTATCACCGTATCTGGTGTGGTGAAAATAGGAGATTTGGGACTCGCTCGATTAATATACCAGCCGCTTCAACCGCTTTTTGCGGGTGACAAAGTTGTTGTCACTATCTGGTACCGAGCTCCCGAACTCCTATTAGGTGCAAAACATTACAACAAGGCAGTAGATTGCTGGGCTGTCGGATGCGTCTTCGCTGAGTTGGCGAGTCTCCGGCCGATATTCAAGGGTGAGGAGGCAAAATTAGATTCTAAGAAAAATGTCCCTTTCCAGCGCGATCAGCTACTCAAGATTTTCGAGGTCCTTGGAACACCAACTGGTAAGAGGCAGCATAATCATATTTACGAGCGCTTCTCACTTCTTATAGAGAAGGATTGGTCAGGCCTCAAAGATATGCCAGAGTATCAGAATATGAAACGCCTTGACACGTGAATTGTTTCCCTTGCATCCGGAATGACCTTGGACCAAAATTATTGCAGGTACCCAAATCGCCTCGCCGAGTGGTGCCAAACGCGCATCCGTTCGCAGCAAGGCTATGATCTCATACGGCAGCTCTTCGCGTATGATCCAGATAAGCGCTTAACGGCCAAAGAAGCGCTAGCACACAAATGGTTCCAAGAAGATCTTCGGCCGACCAGAAAGTACGTCACGTGCAGCCTGTTTTTCATTTTCTCGTTGTCGCTCACAATAATGTAGCGTGTTTTTTCCTGTTTCTGCTCACCATCTGCCGCCTCAACGGCGAATCACTCAAGATGAGGCACCATCTATGATGGGCATACCTGCACCCACACAGGCACAGACACTGTCGCAAGTGGCTCCAGGGCATGGCCAGGCTCAAGGGCAACACCTATCACAGCAGTCTCAAGTAAATCTTTCCCAGCAATCCAAACCAGGTAGCACTGCTAGTTTCGGGAGCGTTAGTGGAGGAGCCGTTGGAAGCTTCTCAGGTGGACAGGGAGGATCTGCTAGAAAGAAGCCTAGAGTTGGATAGTTTGCGGTTGCTCCATAGAATTTTGTTTCGTTTCCATTCCATTAGATGTCTAAATTATCAAACGTTAAACAAGAAAGTTCTGAAAGGCCTGTTCAGCCCTTGGCAAGTTGTGCACCCGTTGAATTCGAATCACGTGATGCTTCGGTTTGGCAAACCGATCAAGACGAACGTTCATTTACCTACACCAAGTAAGCTTGTCTGGATAGCACCACAGGCTGAGCCCTGTGCTTTGCTTCACCCGCTCCCTTTCACGCTCCTATCATATATAACCCTTAATCACTCTCTTCATGCACTTTTTGCGCAAGCTGTCATGACATCCACACAGTCGTCACAATCTTCACAGCCGAAAATCTCTCACAATATGGCAGCTGTGAACGGACGAAAACAAACGTTTTGGGTGCCAGAGATAGCATCATACTTTGTCGCAGGTGGAGCTGCCGGTGCCGCTTCACGAACAGTCGTCAGTCCTTTAGAAAGGCTCAAAATCATCCAGTGAGTCCCTGCACAGCGATTCAATCTCCGTCTGTTCGGATCACCACTGCGTTCTTTTCTCCGAGCACAGCTCGATCTAACAAACTCTTTTTGCGCTACCAGGCAAGTGCAACCGCAAACGTCAGATGGTCAGTACAAGGGGGTCTGGCGGAGTCTTGTCAGGATGTGGAAGGAAGAAGGTTTCAAAGGCTTCATGAGAGGGAATGGGATTAACTGCCTCCGAATCGTGCCTTACAGTGCCGTGCAGTTCACTACGTACGAACAATTGAAGAAGGTGTGGTCATTTATCGGGTTCCTTGAAGCCCTCTCATTAATCTTTCTTAGTGGTTTACGGCCTACGGGACAAAGGAACTCGATACCCCAAAACGGCTGGCCAGTGGTGCACTAGCGGGGATCACGTCTGTTTGTGCGTAGCAATCGCCTATTTTACTTTATCATGATCTCATGCATTACCTCAGGCGCGACATACCCACTAGATCTTGTACGGTCAAGATTGTCGATCGCAACAGCTACCATACCTTTGCAGCCCAAACAAGCACTGCCGAGCTCCTCAGTTATGACAGTATCCGGGGCGAAGCAGGCGTTAGCGTCTGCATATCATACTTCTTCCGGCTCATTAGACCAAACGGTATCAAAGAGAGCTGAACTAACTATGGTCGGAATGACACTGAAAGTGATGCGAGAAGAAGGCGGAGTTCCCGGTCTTTATCGGGGCCTGGTTACTACTGCGGTTGGAGTTGCACCATACGTAGGCATCAACTTTGCAACATACGAGGCGTTGCGTGGGGTCATGACGCCTCCTGGAAAAAACAACGTTGTTCGGAAGTTGGCTTGCGGAGCGCTAGCTGGTACGTTCACACTACCACCGACTATTTCAGGGGGTTTCTGATCCGTTACCGCAGGATCCATATCACAAACTCTGACATACCCATTCGATGTGCTGAGACGGAAGATGCAAGTGACCGGAATGGTTAATGGAGGGCTGGGATATCATTACAATGGTGCGTTTGATGCATTACGTTCTATCATTCGCACGGAAGGACTCCGAGGATTGTATCGTGGACTATGGCCAAATCTGCGTGAGTATGAATTATTGCCCACATGACTTTGATAGACTGAAACGTTTGAGCAGTCAAAGTTGCACCCAGCATCGCCACGTCATTCTTCACCTATGAGCTGGTGAAGGAACTTTTGGTCACGCCATAAAGATCTATCCGCACTAGATCTAGATAAACACAGATTTGACACTATACATAATTGTTTTTTATATACTTTTTTTTTCCCCTCGTAGTGTAGTAAGTATATGGTATAGTGTGTGACTTGAGACGGAACCGTGGAATAGTTTATGGAGAAATCCGGATTAGTACCGGACGTGTGGCTGTGTTATGCAAATTTAGACTTTGCCTCGTTTTGAATCATTGTGGTTGCCTCAAGGCGATTAACAGAGAAAGCACACGGCGACGACGACGGGCGTTAATCTGTCTCTTTGTTTCTTGACCACCATCATCTAGAACGCATTCAAGTGCTGTAATCAGCAGCGTTCCGGTGTACGGTCCTGGCTGACCCGGGTCTGGACTAACTAGACAACAGCCTATCAAGCTAACGTTACAGTTTCAACAATTATCTTTGTTCAAACAGTCTAGCCTTAGGATCACTGTTGATCCTATCACTGCTGTTCATGCTACTTTAAATACGCACGGTACGTGTTATCCTATCATTATCTTTTGTAATTGTCTTCTTGGGCTTCCATCCTCACACTCACCGCATTGCTATATTCGTGCCTTTACGCCTCTTTCTCCACTTGTGATAGACCTATGCTAACTTGCGTTTCAGACCCGTAATTATATATTAAAGGCTATCGCCGAGTCAATATCGTGTTTGTCCGAATCTGTCTAGTCGCCTACTAGCATCATGCTTGGAAATCATCCTCGCTCTCAGGACCACCACGTTGTCCAGATCAAGCAACCGTTCTCCATGTCATTGGCATCACTTTCATCCTCGTTGTCTTCATCAACTGCATCTTCCACGCTGCTGCCTGCAGGGCCTTCCTCTAGCCAATTCAATATCGCAACCGATCAGCTACTGGCTGCATCTTGTTCCTCCACGTTCAAGAGTCGTTCAGGTGGTCTTGTTTCCAGCCCAGTACCTTGCTCGTTTCCCTCTGCATCATCAATGGGTCAGGTAAACAGCCACCCACAGGTTGCTACGGTACTTTCACCACCGTCATCACCAGCCCCTACTTTGCCGAGCGCCAGTTTGTCAACAGGATTCAGTCTTGCTCGTGCCTTTGGTGGGCGACGGAAAAAATCGGAGACTCTCAATGTTTCTTCTGGCGCATCGCAACATAGTGGCAGCAGAGTGAAGGACTCACAGAGCGGTGACGATTATTACCCTGGAACCCCACGGAGCGCACCATCCCGCCCATATGGGGCCAAACAGTTGACTCTTTCCCTTGCTTCGCATGTCTTCAGCAAAAAACACTCGGGCTCGGCCCCCGTCTCACCTGCAGTGAGCCTTGCGCCTCCACCGCCTCCACCGAAGATTGCTGCGCCACATCCCGTGTCACGCCTCGCGCCTGTGAATACAAACATCGACCAGCGAGTCTCGGTAATGACCACCACGAGTCCTATTGCGCCAGCTTTGGATTACATGCGCAGAACAGATGAGGCTTCAGAATTTGCGGCATCCAAGGAGAATGAAAGAAGAGATCTCGAGAAATCGGATATGAAGGAGATCCGGAGAAAGAGCGATTCTACGCTGAGCCATCACACAATC